AGTTTATGATAAAAAAAAATGTCAATTTTGTCATTGTTAAGCTAACGAATATGTTTGATGTAGTGTAATATTAAAATGTCCCAGTATACACAATATAACGATTTTATTTTTTACAATAATAGTATAATCTAATCTAATGCAAAGTAAGAAAAAAATTTATTAAAAAAAAACTGATAATAATTTTTTTTAATGAAAATACCTAGTTGAAACTATAGATTCTAAAATCTTCTGTTACTCTACTCACATTATTTCCCTGGTACAAGTGCTATCATACATATCCTCTATTATATTAATGTACCATTAATATGGGACTCATTTTCTAATTAATACCCACATTAAAATCTCTCTTTTATAAATATAAATACTAACTATAAATATCATACATAACTTTTTATTCTTTTCCTATACATTTCTATTATTTGTCTTACTGGTTCTATCATTGACTTTCCAGGCAAAATACCAAACTGATATTTTGTTACTAATGTTTCTCTTATTATTATTTTATCTATTACCTTATTCCAAATCTTCAAAAGACTAAAAAGTTATGTATGATATGATCATGTAGCTTTTGGAATAATCCACCAATTTTTTAAAATTAAACACTATCTTAAGGTTTGCAAGGAAGCGTTTTTTTTATAGTGATTTTAATCACTGTCAGATATCATTATACTTGATCCAACTATGCCACGTCACCACTGTGCCGCGCCCTCCTACACTGGGTTTTTTGTGTTTCGTTGAAAGAATTCGGTTCGGTGAGAGCTGAGAAAAATTGGTAACAGACACAAAAAAAACGCATCGTAGTAAAACCAATACCTTCTCAGATTCGCATCAGAGCTAAAACAGCATGTTTTTAAATACTGTAGCCATTTTTACCACAAAAACAATTATCGATAACAATGTTTTTTCAAATTAAAATATAGTATTACACAGATTTAATTTATGGCATTTGTAAATGTAGTCTGGATTTCAAAAAATAACTTAAAAAGTTATCTTTGTTAAAATTAATATAAATAATTTGGTCAAAAATATTATATAAATAATAATAAATATATATTATAAATAATCTAAAAACAATATTTATCATTTAATGGAATATGCATGAAAAAATATCTTGAGACATGACACGACTTACGTCGCAAAAATGTGGTCGACACTGGTTTTGAGGGTAGAAACCCGTGAGTCGTTTATTAAATGAGCGACAACAGGTTATTTTAACAAAAAATAAAACAAACCGAAAAGATAAACACAATAATAATAATCTTCGCATAATATCGCGGCACTTTCGCTGACGTCGACCACACAATGTCTGGCGTGATCCTTGAGCAACAAAAGGTTAGCAGCGTTGTAGGCGACGGTACGCGGGTGCGGTTCGGTTGGTCGACGTTGTCGCTTTCACAACGGGAAGAAGACACTCGTAACATTTGCGGCGGGTCGTCGTCGGCCGTGCGGCATTTGCTGGACATTGCACCGTAGCGTATAACACGCGGTGTTGGTCAGTCAAATACTCATAGTAGGGCGACGGCTGATAAAGGTGGCCGTGTCAAATAATATATTTACAAATACTGACGCAGATTCCATGTGAGAGAATATTGACCATGAATTCTCATTTATAAGGAAAAACTTAGAAAACTAGACTTTATATCCTGGAGATAGTAAACTAGGGACCTCTAGTGAAATTCCTGAGTTGCTATATAATTATTTGTAACTGGTTACTGTGATAGATATCTTTTGAAAAGGTGTACTGAGTTTTAAAAGGCTGGTTTGAAATATTTGTTATTTAAATAATTAAATAAAATATTTGATATTATGCACAATATCAGGTTTTTTTGTTTTTATCTAAGAATGCTTTCTTCTTCTTCTCTACTAATGGCCTTGCCTTGTCGTTGCAAATCTGGATCTCCATTCTTTTCTGTTAAAAGCCAGTCTTTTCATGTCTATGTATCAACTAAAGTCAGCTTGTCTTATCATTTCTTCTATATATGCTTTCCTCGGTCTACCTCTACCTTTGTGTCCATTTATTCGTCCTTCAAATATATTTTTTATAAACGAATTGTGCCTTAATAGGTTACCAAACATTTTTCCACTTCTTTCTTTTATGACGTTTAACAGAATTCTTTTTTCCCCTACTTGGTTTAATACATCTACGTTACTTTTCATTTCTGTCCGGCTGACTTTCAGCAACCTTCTCCATGTCCATATTTCCATAGCTTCCAACTTCTTCTTGTCTTGTCCATTGATGGTCCATGTTTCACAGCCATATAGTAGTACGCTCCATACATAGCACTTGACAAAATTTTTTCTCATATTTATATTGAGTTTTTTGTTTGTAAGTAGCTGCCGTTTTTGCATAAATGCTCTCTTTGCCATAGCTATTCTTTGTCTAATTTCTATTGAGCAACTACCATCGCTAGTAATCGTACTTCCTAGATACTTAAATTGTTGAACCTGCTCAATTAAATTATTATCTATTTCCAACCTCACTAAAGGAATTTCTTTTGCTTTAGTCAACACCATTGACTTTGTTTTATTTGCATTTATTTTCATTTGATACTCCTGCAATATTTTAGTGAGGGTGGTTAGAGATTTTTGCATGTCGTTTTCTGATTCAGACACTAAAGCAATATCATCTGCAGAATGTTTTAAAAGAATGCTTTAAAAGCTTTAATTTGGTATTGATTTAAAGGGTATTTTAAAAACATGAAAAAAAGTTAAATGTATCATGATCCTTGTATATTTTAAAAAGTTATTTTTCTTATGTAATTAAAATTGAAAATATTAACATGGATTATTGGATAAATCGCCGATTGCGGGTATTTTTTAAATTATGAATGATATTTTCCATGAGATATAATTTGAGATATTTTGACTTATTGTATCTCTTTTTTATATTTAGACACAAAAAAATCAATTAAAAAAAATATATAATTAACTGGCTAATAAGAAATATTAAGATTTATGTATTGAATCTTACGATGACAATAGAAAGTGACAAACCTAACGACTGCTGTCGAAAACGTCACAGAAAAAGATCGTCTCGCTGTAGATCTCGATTGAGAAGCTGCCGAAAACGTGTCAGAAGTTGCAGGTGTAGAAGTCGCCGAAGCGCAAAAATGTGTAACGATAAAACTAGGAACATTTCATGTTTCATGAGCGATGAGTCAGAAGCCAGTGAAGACGCATACCAGCCGATTTCAATCCGAGCTCAAGGTTTAGCCATACAGCCTTTAACTGTGACTGCTTCTATGCTAGCCGAAGGAGGTGAGACCTCTGATGCTTGCCGTCGCAGACAAAGACGTCGTAAGCGATCTCGTCGGAGAAGATCAATGAGTTGTAGAAAACCCAGGAGCTGCCGTACAAAGCGTCGTCGGTCCCGTTGTAGATTTAGAGTAATAGATGGCAGTGATACGGAGGAAACCAATGATGGACTGAGTAGAAAAAAAGTCCACCAACGCAGCCGTTCAGCTAAAATACGAACCCGGATTCGTAGGCCATCGACCAAACGTTAACCTTTTTAAGTGTTTTTTAATGGACGGAAAAAATGTCTTATTTTAACGATAAATTGACATATATAAACTGTTTTTAGAATAAAAAATTGTTTAAGATTATTTAATAAGTATTTTACTTGAAGGTAGTAACTAGAATAAAGGTTTGTTTATGTGAAATTATACATGTAAATGGGTTATTGAGATTTATTATAATTTTTGTTAAAGAGGAAGTTATCTGATTTTAGCTTTTAGAAAATAACCACATTTATAATTGTATAAATTCTTTTGGGGACTAGGTTCCTTAGACGGACCTATGATTATATTTATTTAAACTGTCATCATTGTTATGTATAATAATAAATTAGTGTAAAATATAATGCAAATTTAATTTTAAGTTAATTAAAAGTTTAATTTAAGTTAATAGGTCGTTATATGTATAAATGATTATAACACCTCGTGATTTATTAACTACAACTATGATAATTAAAGTTGTAAGTGATTGATATGTAAAACATACCGTAGCCCGTGTCTAGATTAAGGAACAAGGATAAAATACATGCGATACTTAAGTTACTTGCGCAATACGAAATATTATAATTTAATTGATAAAAAAAGAAAATTAAGTTGAACATGGAAAAAAATACGAGTGTATCAAAAACCATGTCTACAAATAAAGGCAACAAAAGTAAAATAAAATATTTAAACAAAATCAAATAATTAAACAAAAATCACGGACGGTATTAGAACAAATCCGTTAATGTTAATCAGAATGATGATCATAAAAATATTAATATTTGCTTTATATTCATCTAGTAAGTTACAATTTTGTTACTAGATAGCAGCAGTATTACTTCTTTAGTTAATAACATAGTAACAGTTATAGCTAACGTGATCACTTTTTTGACAAAGTTGTATTTTATTATTTTTTTGTATTGACAATTACTTCAAAAATTAAATTTTAAATTACTGTTATTAACTACTGAATTATTAGATAATTAAAGGTAGTGGTAAGAGGTAGATACCTTATTTGGGCAGATGCCTAAATTGAACCATCTCCAGATTTCGGCTATAACATTTGGCTCATTAATATAGCACCCATTTAACCTAAATCTTATTTCCATACCATTAATAGTTTCCTATATGATCCAATTACTGTTTCAACAACTTAAAATATTTTTTTTAATTAAAAAAAGTATCAAATAGAATTAAAAAATATTAAATCATCTGTGCAAAATTGTAACTCACTTATCACGTAAGTATTATTTTAGTGAAGATTTACATTTAAACTTAGATTTCTTATCTAGAAGAGCCCTAAAAGTTCACAGTGATTTAAATTAAGTAACTGTCTTCCACATGATATTCGGGACATATAACATAAGAATAAAGAATTCATAATCACTCAAATACTTTTATTGTATAATATATTTCATATACATATATTTATGTATAATATACACAAAACAAAATTAAAAGTAATTTTATTATTACAGACTTTATTTGTATGTTTAACATATTTAAAAAATAATTCTTAATACTATCTGAATTGAATAGGTATCTATTTTTAACAGTTACCAACAATTTTTAAAAAGCAAAATGTCATATTTCGTTTATCGATAGTCAATGTGAAATTACTACATTAATTATAAATAACAAAAAAATTTACATGTATACAAAATAACTAAAATTATATGACCTTTAACATAATGTTCAAGCTATACAACTAATTTATTCTTAACTTATACAATAAAATGTACAAATGTACAAATTAAAAACAATCAGAGTAATAAGATTATTGACGATAGTCAAATAAATAAGATATTTTAGTTAAAGATATAAAAATAATAACAATATTACAAGTATACACAGTAAAAAAAGGTGTACGTTTAACGTTTTATTAACTGTATGTTGTAATTACTGAATGTTTATAATTCATAAAACAATTTTAAAACAATCAGTCAAAAAATCATACAATATCTATTAATATAATGTATTTAGGCACCTCAAAATTTCAATTATCCATTTGACAAAGAGACATTTTGATATTTTACTTACAATTGACAAATTTGTCAAGTTAATGTTTCAGTCAATTTGTTATTACAATTCCCGCTTATAAATAATATTGTTCAATATTTAGCTACATTATAATTCATATTATATCGATCTTGCTTATAATATGACCAAATTAAGATAAATAACAGATTTTTTTGTTTTTAAACATTTATAAATTTTATAAAATAATTTTTTTATCTGATGTAAGTATAAGACAAAAGGACAGCACAAAGTATTATAATATTTCATTACAATCTCAATATTAAAACATTTAAATATAATTTTTACAAAATTCAATCAGTTTATAGAGAAACATAAATTTAATAATATATTTTTTTTTTAATTTTTAGATAGTATTAAGATATATATATATATATATATAATATATTATATATTTTCTAACAATATTAATCAGAATAAATAAATGTGACAAATAGATTGTTGAGAACTATATGATAAAACATAAAGTTCCATAACATATTAATTAACATAATAAAATCCTTTTTATTTTAATATGATAAATCATTCTTAAAAATCTATTATGCTTGGTCATTTATAAAAGAATTGAGTCTTAACACTACATGAAAACTGACCAAATAACTAACATAGTTTAAATATAATTTGGACAAGCAACTTTTATGGTTTATATCTTATCTTTAGATAAAAATGTATAATTTATAAATTCAAATATTCTCTCACTTATACAATAAGATAAAACGAATTGAATTATTTTAACTTGACTTTTAAGTGATTTTTCTACAATTTTGTCTAAATAAGAATTGCATGATGTTATGAATTTTAGTTAAACATTATTGTCTCAAAACCGGATGGCTCAAAATTTCTTTCTCAATCACGTTAATATAGAACTCGTTGTAGTGCAACAATTATTTAAGTATAATATTTCTTAATTATGCATTTATTTACAAAAGATTTATTTTAATAAACTATAACTAATGTAAAGTTTTAAACTCTTAACTAGATATAATTGAAACAAAAAAGTAATACTTTTATGATAATGATGATCTTTTATTTTATTATAAATTGAATGTTCTTAAATTACGGTATATGTTCAAATACTGGCCTATATATGTATAATATTTGAGAACTTATTATCAAACATAAAATAAAACAATTTTAACGTAAATTGAAAATTTCAGGGATTAATTTCGAGTCGAATGAAAAGTTGCTGTTGTAGTTTCATTATTTCAATGAAATTCGAAGTATTTTAATACGTTTTTAAGTCCATAATTTTGGATTAAAACTTACTCTCATAATTTCAACATAAAAATAGTTATATATTTACAACTCATTGTGCTTAAAACGGTTTTTGTGCTGATTAACTCTTATGGTAGTTATAGGTTTTAACATAAATGTATAACAGAATAGATTTATAATATGCAAGATAGTCGAATAAAATAGAATTTATAAAATTATTTAATAAATTAATTTTATTCTTCAGTAAATCGTATAAGTCTCATATGATACGTTGGTAGTCAGTACGTCATTTACTTTTAGGCCAAAAGTATATGACGAAAAGGGATACAAGAGTTTAAGCATCCTGTTTCTATTAGCACTTAAACCATGTGCTAATGAATGATATAAATTTTGAATGTTATGTGCAATGTGAGTTAACCGATGAAATTTAACGGAAATAATACTATGATGTCCGAAATATGTATAATCCCTTTGAATATTGAATAGTTTTATAGAAAGCGGTTTTGCGGTAATATGGTTATTATGATTATATTCACCGATTTCAGGATTAACGATTATTTGCACGTGATATAACTTTGTGAAGCGTATAGATTAAAAGTAAAAGTATACATTGGCGATTGCGATTATCTTCTTATTTGCCAATGATCTTCATGATGAAACAAAATTAACTTCACTTAAAGCCATTATATTGCCATCGGCCAATTGATTCTCCAAACTTATTTAATTTAAATGTACAAATTCTGTTTTACCGAAACGTTTATAGAGATGGGGCCCCAAATGTCTGTAGAATATTATCCCCTTACTTCTCCGTCTAACTATAAGTTAGATTTGTAAAGCTGGACTAGAATTTATAAGTTTAATTTTATTAAGTTCCAATCAAAATGTTCAAATAATGTTCTTTAAAGATACTGTGATTGAGTTGTTGATCCGTGGAATACCAAACACTATACTTCATCAATCAATGAAAATTTAGATTCTCTTAAATAAAACTGAGAAATATTCATAAATAATTGCAATTACTTATTTTTAAATAATGAAAGTGATTTCTTTGTTTTAAGTTAAATTTAAAGTAATTTAAAATTTTTAAATATTAATTAATTTAATATTAATTGTAATATTTTGTTCAGTTTCTATTATATATTTTTTTAATGAAATAGCTGACGAATTATGCAAATAGTATTAGTCATTCCAGACGGATAACAACACAGTGGCGTGTTTTTGTTAACCTTAGTAACAGCTAAAAATATTGTTAAACATCAAAAATGAATAAAAAATATTTTACATTCTTGTTAAAACTTGTAAAACTACCCCTAAGATTTTTCCGTTCCATCCTTATAAATATTTAACAACTTTCACGCCACTGTGAGATCAATGGTATTTATAGGTTTTACTGAAGGATATTTAAACAATGACAGTAAAGGCAAAATAAAAGGTAGTAAAGATGACGGTAAGTATGACGTTGCAGCTGCGTTTGGTGAATCCATTGTATGAAGAAGTAGATCCGAGGTCTCGAGCTTCAGCGTCTAAAAATAACCAAACGACAATCAATTAAAATTATTTTTGACAAACAATGCGATTTAAAGTGAAAAATAAATTATGAAAAAATACACACTTGATGTCATTGAGCTACCATAAGATGCTTGGTATTTTGGGTTGGAGTCTAAACATGCCAGCCAATGAAAAAAAAAAAATAAAAATAAAAATAAAAACCATGCAAAAAAAAAGATAAAATTATAATAAATATTAAAAAAGGCATACTAGATGCGTGTTAAAATTCAAGACTGTTTTTTGCAAAAGGTTGTGTGGTTTTTGTATAATCATTAAAACTATTAATATTATTATTACTAATATTACCATAGGTGTGCCATTGTTCGAACTCATAAATTAAATCACAAGACATGACGTTTTTTTAACACGATATGCGTACACATCAGTCAGAAGGTTCTTTGTAATTAAACAATTAATCGTGACATGCAATATTTAAATTTTTTTATCAAAACATAGAAAAATGTTCAAAAATAATTTGTGTGTATAACTACCCAATGTATATTATTTTTTTATACCGTCCTAGTTTTAAAATTACATTATAAATTGAATGAGACTATTTATGAAAGCGTCCGTTTAAAACGTTTGCATTACATGCAACTGCAATATCTACGAACGCCAATGTTATTTTTAAATAATATATTTATAAATAGTGTTTCTAATTCATGTATTCAAAAATTTTGTACGGTATTTTTGTAGTTGTAATAAATAAAACTGCAAGATAAATTTTTAAATAAAATATTGATGATGGATAAAAATTTAAATAAACTAACGTTAAAATCAAAATGACATCTAAGATGTGCTCGTTTGTAAATATTTATGTGCAATAAATGTATTTTTCTCGTGATATAATAAAATAACACATTAAATCTTCATACTGATTAGAAAACATATAGTATTATGTACATAAATTGTATTATTGTGATCAAGATCATACCATTATTTGCAATCTCTGTCTGTTCGCATTCGAAACATAGCGATACCAAGTTGCGTAGAGTAGTGTACAGTGAGTTCCAGTTAATAAGTGGAGAATATTGACCTATTGGGATATTTAAAAAAAGATAAACGTCATTGTCTTAGTTTTAAAATCGCTGCATTTATATTATTTGCATTAATGAATAAATGAAATATGTGTACACAGACAGAGACGACATACATTTAAAATGATCTTAGATAATGTAAATAGAATTATATTTACGATGAATAAATAATTTTTTTTAATTCATTGTTTAATACTAAATATCTAAAATATTAATTTTAATTTCAATGTATATTTTAATTGTTTGTCAAATATAATGAGAGAATTAATTGAACAGATGGTGCGTAAACGAACATTCACTTTATTCTAATACTAGTAATAATAATAATAATAATAATGAAATAGCATAACAAAAACGACCGCAAAAACGCTCCGGTCTTTAGATAAAATGATGGTATTAATTGTCGTCAAGAAATATGCGTGTAAAAAATGAAATCAAAAAGCCAAAAAAAGCATTCGTACTTTTACCGATTTCAGGTGTAGTAGAAGTGATAAATTTGAACACGTCAGACATTGGGGTCCAGCCAAATCGGTTCTTGGCCATTACTTTAGCTTCATATTCAGCTCCGGTTTCCAAACCACGAATGTTATAAGACATGCGATGAGTAAACTGTTCACTGGGCAATGCTGGAAGGACTACATCGTTCCATTCGTTTCTCATGCTGTTATATCCATAAATTGGAGTCCCTAATAGGCCATCATTGTTCTCCTATTTTAATAAAAAAACCGTTATAAAATATAAAATACTCCGAAAAAACATATATAACACTTTCAAATCATTTCTATTAGAAATGGGAAATATCGAACAGTAACTATCGAAATATTCGATAGTTTAATCTTAAAATAAACTATTCGATTGTATAAGAGCAATTTGAATAGTCATTCAATAGTTTAGAATATTTGAAAATGCCCACCAGTAATTTCTTATATTTATAATGAAAAATTAATTGACATTATCCAAAAAAAGTTAAGTAAATTTTAAGTTAACTTACGTGTCTAACAGGTTTCTTAGGCCATTGATACTGAGTTCGTGTGTCTACCGATGATTCATCAGGAAGAGGCACTTTTCTGTAAAATAGCTTAAACTCTTCTATGGGAGTGTAGCTATCAACTGACCAAGAAAGGTTGAAATTATTTTGATGTCTACCTATCTTATTACTATTGATTTTCACTGGATTAGGTTTTCCTGTAACATTAAAGTTACATAAATGCTTGAATTTCAAATATTTATGAAAAATTAAATATTTAATATATTACCTGATAGTTCAACATAAGACCTGCTTTTGCCTACAACGTTATCTGCAACGCAACTGTAATTACCAAAGTCACTTGCTTGGACTTTTCTCACTATCAAAGTATGTCTACTTCCTCTAACTTCCGTAATACGGCGTTCATTAGTATCTAATTTTAATGTATCTCTGTACCATGACACCTAAACGAAAAGCATTATAAGAGAACAAGTTAAGAAATATACATCAACACAAACAGACATTCTATAAAAATATTTTAATTGCTATTTACATACATAATTAATGTATCCTTCTAATTTTCAAATTTTACTACCATTACACATATTATTATTCACATAAATATTTATTTAATTCGACTATAATTGTTACTGACAACAATGGTTAATATATTTATAGTTTTAAATCTCAATATAGAATAATTTCAAATTAAATTCAAACTTACTCTAAATAAATATATTGTTAAAAATGTAAATATAAATATATTTTACGAGATAAATAAAATATTTATAAAATTTTCATTAGAATTTCTACCGGCTGGCGAAACAAAGTTATAAAATCATTATTTTAATCAGAATATACTTTCAATTGAAATTTAAACAATTCCTAATCTCTTAGCTTACTAGGGTATTTATTCAGTATTTGTAAAGTTCCGTCGTAATTTAAATAATGCTATTCAAATTTTTCTAAAGATATTTATAAATATATCATTATACTCTTTCTTAGTAATATTAATTATTCCATGTATTTTATTTTAAATATGAATTTAAAAACAATTTTATGAATTATAATTTGTCATAGATGTGTAAACTATCAACAGACACAAAATTAATTAAAATAATTTTAAAATATTTGAATATGTCTTGATTTAATACGCCATACACGCTATTTATAGAAATCAATGTTTTTTAAAGATAAAATTAAAAATTTTTATTTTTTAGATAATTTCACATAACAGATAACATTTTATAAATATATTTATAACGTGATAATTATAAATATTTACCTCTGCGTGCGGTTCAGCGTTAACTATGCAAACAAGCAAAGCTTCGTTTCCTTCTCCAGAATGAACCCAACCACGTTCCACTTCAATTTCCGGAGGATCTACAAACAACATAATATCATTGTCATAAATAGGTTTTGTCTCAGAGTATATCGTAATAATATCACAGAGATAAATACTGTAGTTTTAATGTAACAAATATTTGTAGATATCCATTCAATTTTTATATAATAAAAATTGATCACTTATGGCTAATATTTTATTCAAAATGTTACAAAAAATCACAGATACCAATTTCGGGAACTAGTCAGTATATGTTTAGTGTTGATAATGATAATATTGTTCTCGAAATACGTATCGTCGATTTTTTAGTAACTATTTGTGGCATATTGAATTAAATATTATGAATATTTGGTAGCCTTAATAACTTTTAATATATTTTTAATTTTAAATAACATTCAAATTTTTCGAATTGGCTTTTTTAAAGTCTATACCCTTTCTACTTGCACATTTATTTTACAATAATTGTAAAATTTAATGTTCAAAGTAAGTTGTATTATGAATAGTTTTATTTAAAAAAGTGTTCGACATATTTATTTGATTTTTACGTTTTCACAACCTATTGAGAGCCATAGCGACCTCCTTCAAAAAAGAGGTGTCATAGCCATGAGTACTAGAAAATAACAAATAAAATTCTATAAACTAAATATATGCATAAAAATCAACAAATATATCATAAAATTGGTCATTAATTTTAATTATTCTTATTATTTGTTGTCTTTAGTTTTTATTGATTTATTAAAAGCGATAAACATTTATAAAAAACAATTATGGTAAATTAAAAACCTAGATATTACAACTTTTTATAAAGTAAATATATAAATTAATTTAGAAATTTAAATCTTAAAGTTTTTAAATAAAGGCGTACTTTTGGATCCTTAAAACTTTTGAGAAAATGAGTTATTAAGCGCAGTTTTATCTCGTTTTAAAAACGAGAAATATAACACCGAAAATTATATTCACATTATTGTAATAATGAAAGTTGTACGCTAATTAAACACAAAAATATGATGTTTCAGATGTTCAAGTGGTTAAGATTTGTTAATTATAATTATTCATGGAAAAAATGAGTAGATACTTACATAATATGTTAACTGCAATAGTTTGTTCTGCAGGTTGACCGACGTTGTTGTAAGCGGTGCATATATAAATACCTGCATCATGTCTGGTTGCTGATTGTATAATGTATGTGTCTCCAGTTGTGTTTCTCTCGCCATTTGGAAGTACATTATTCTGCAAACAAATTAAATTCAGTAATTACCTTTAAAGGAAGAAATTGTTGTTCAAATGAAAAATTCATAAATCTCAAATAAAAAACAATACAGTGCGATTCGCAATCCATTGATTTTCAACATCTTACACAAAGTTAAGATTTATAATAACTAATAAATCTAATTGTAGTAATCTCTAAAATTTCAAAGATTTTCCTCATGATTTCAATCAAATTCATTGTTTTTTTCTATAATTATTAAAGATAACAGAAATTCTCACTTTGTATTGTTCAAAGTTGTTCCGTATAAAATTTTACTACGATTAAATTTTTGCGATATTAATAAAAGTATTAATACAATTAATTCAATAACTAGTATATGGCCGTCATTTCAGATTAAGCCTAAGCTCACAGTTTCAATTAAATATTACTGTGGTCAGTTCATTCAAGTCGACAAAAAAAGACCTATATTTTGTTTTTCACAAATCAATTGACTGAAGTTCTTTAGAAAAATTTATTCAAAATTTAAGTAATGTTTTTTGTATAATGCGCAGTATGAGAATATTTAATACTCTTATATCAAAGAGCATTATAGAAAAAAATTTTTATGTACTAACTTTTCTTGTCCACGTTATGTTTGGAACAGGATTTCCATCTGCTTCGCAATTTAATTTGATCAAAGAATCTTTTTTTGTATCAATATTACCTCCAGAAGTTACGGACTTAATTCTTGATGGGACTAGAAAAAAAAATCTTATTAGCATTACAATTAAATTTACAAAATATTATAATTGTTCGTAAAATATTATAACAATATATAATATTGTCAATGTAATAATAAGTGTATAAATTAATTTTAATTTTATTTGATAATATTTTTATAAGATATCTACTCAGTTAAAAAAATTATCACATTTTAATGCAACTCGATGGATAAATTTTGAATCACAATCTAAGTGATATATTTAATCTTTCATAAAGGAATAACCAAACTTATTACACACACAAAACTACGTTTATTATCCTATGATACATGCTAAATGATTTCCATACTCTTTCTGGCACCTACTTGATATCATCTATTTCTTTATACACACTTGACATTGTAAGATTTGCTAATATAAACGTACGTTAGGACCAAACACCGTTAGCGAAAATTCAGTCAGTGCCATTATTCCTTAATTAATATTAAAGCACTGTGCTTCTCTTTTGGTTTCTTCACTAGAATTTAGTGGGTTTCACTTAATTATTGTAAGTTCAAAGCTTCATAAATAATGCTCTACAATAACTATTAATTTTAAACCAACTCAATTATTACAGTAACTCAACAAGTGTAATAGTAATTATACAATATTTACATTTTCACTATTTTAGTTAGTTCAATAATTTCAAAATAATATTTAATTAAATATACGATTCAAATATTTTAAAATGATTTTTTAAAATACAATTTAAATAGTCATTTTTCAACTTTAATACGCAAATTAATTTCCAATTAAAATTATCATCATTCATATTATGTAGTTCAAAATATGTTATTGTCTATGTAAATTAAGAACGTCATCAATTGAAATGCAAATAAACTAAGATCTCATAAGTAAGACCGAGTCAACATACTATCTAACTATTGTAGTATACACTAAGGTTCAAGTTTTGAATAATGATCAAAATGTAAATTTTGACAGTATCTCGAAGGACGTTTTCCCTTCATGCAAGACATTTTTATTTAAAATAACGTCTTTTTTGTTTCTATATGTTTACAATACTTCACTGACCATTAAATATTTCCGAAAGAGGTCATCGTAAGATCTCTTTGACGAGATGGTAACTCTCTATGATAGCGTTGACAATTTGTTGAAAAGGGATATCAGATCCAATTTATCATTCATGATAATTTTTCTTCTTCAAAGTTCACATTTTGTCTTTTTTTTTTTCATCTTTTTAGAAATTTCACATATTTGGAGCTATGTTGTTATTATTTTTTTTATTACATTTAAAATAATACAAAGGTATTGTGGAACATATATTTTACAGATTTGAGTAAACCGAAATTATTCAAGAACTCAAATGATCGATATCTATAGCTAACTAGCGTTCCTCAAAATACAAGGAAGACTAAAGTAAAGGTTTATAGCTTTGTTTATATGTATATATTTTACGACTTGTAACGGATATGTTTCCGGGTGAAAAATGAAAGCGTGTTAAGTGAATATTTCAATTTTGTGCAAAGGGTTGTTTTCATTTGATTAATATATTGTAGAACATGCAATCAAATACTTTTTGTTTCTATTACCTAAGAAAAACTAACTTATCTAAAATTATATTTTATGGGTTGATTATACGTTTGAATGTCTAGAAGGTAATTGAATTTAATATGGGTGATTCTTCTAAATGTGTACCATTTTTATTTCACAATTAATTGACAGGAAAATTTAAACAATAATATATTCCTAAAAATTATGTTCATAATATTTCGGAAAATAGAAACATCATACTTCATATGAAAAATAAAAGGGAGTTAATATGTCCAATGTAATTGTATTTATGTAACTAGCAACAATATTACATTACAAACAACAATAATTTTTCAACATTTTTCTCGTTTATCAAAGTCTTGTCACTATATTGTATCCAGGGACTTATGAAGCATGGTATGTAATCTATCTCTGTATTCGAATAAAATACTACAGCTTAAGCTACGAACATTTAAAGATAAAATATAAATAATGTTTGTATAACAGTATGTTTGTTCCCGTCCGCAACTTTAATCAAAAATAGACATACTGTAGTAAAAAAAAAAAAAAACTTTAACCTAAGTGCAATTAGACCGAGATAGTAAAAACTCTACTTAGATACATAATTCTTGAGTATTTTTATCCGCTAAAATCTTAAATTAGAATAAAAAAAGTTCAAACCTATTCTATTCACTAATTTACTGGTTATAAAATAAGAAGACGGAGAATATAAGAACCTTGAAGAGGAAGTAAAAAAAAATTAAAGGTGAACAAAGCATGTTCAACTTTAACGATGATCAACCTAGCTTTTACTTTTTCCATTTTTAAAGAGTTTTATAACATTATACAACTACACTATTATACAGTATTCATTAATTATGTAACAACACTAAAACCATCTGGATGGTCGTGTGAATTTTCGATGGCCCTCATACTCAAAATGAAACTCTGTAGGGAATCACCAAGTGCATGTATGTCACTTCACTCCACTTTAGGGTGTGTGTTTCATATAAATAAGTAAAGACAGTTCAGAGCCGAATCGTGTTCTTTTTTAATAACCAAATAGTTTTAAGACAACGAATTGGAGGGTCTCGAAGTTTACATAAATCCACCAGTGAGTTTTTACCCCTAAGTTTAAAATAAAATCTATGTACTGTACACAGAACTGGAAGTACACATACTAAATTTTATATAATTCAAGGCTTTAGGAATTCTTTTAAATAGAGTTATGAGATTTCATAAAAAAAATCTTTAAAAGTTAATAAAATAAAATAAATGAGCCATTTTTAACAGCATAAGTAATTTGTTTTACTATAGATCATAGTAATTTAATAATTTTGTATTTTATTATCTTTGCTCTCTATACACAATATAAAATTTTTATTTGTAAGCTATTTATTTTCACTGGTAATTTTTATACGTAAACTGTACGAAATTATTGGATTTTATGTTACATACTACTAATGAATAGGAAGTTTAAAAAATACACTTACCTAAGATTTCAACCGTATGAGATATTTCTCTTGGTTTTAATGTTGCAATTTGGCAAACATAATTTCCTGCGTCATTTGTTTGAATATCTCGGATTTCTAAATTACTACCATCCACTAGTCGAATTCTTTCGTCTGGTGAAACTTTAGTACTACCGGCTGTAAGTACAGCTATTCCTTTTTTCCATACCAAAATAAAAGAACCTTAAACAAAATAAACAAAATGGGATATAAATTTTTTTTTCAATGTTATACAAACATAATATTTTAATAATAATCCTAAGAAGCTTTGGAAAGATAAATTAAATATTTTAACTATAAAGTAATGTTTCAATGTTCATTATAATGATTTAGTTCATTTTTACGTTCTAGTGACATTTTTAGGATTATATTAAAAAACTATTAAATCCAAGTTTAATAAAATGAGCTTTTCTGTTGGCTTTCTAGTCAAGTCATTTAAATGAGTTGATTGATGACAACGCACTAGGTTTTGAATAAAATCATTAATTACGAATGTTTGCAGGCTAAACAGTTTATTGCTTTTGATCCATCAACGTACTGTAGTGTACCTGCGTAAGAATGATGTACATGGAGAATATTAATTAAATAGCTTTTTTATGTATACATATATAGCAAATAAATAGTTTATTATTCAAATGAAATATAAAATTTAGCGAATAAATTTATTTTCATTGATCGTATGATAACAACTAAATAAAATGGCTTCAGTTGTAATAAATCAATATTATTTTTATTTTCAGTAAAGATAGGAGAGTTGAATTTAATTATCTAATAACTTCATTGTTAAATATCAAATGAATACATGCCGATTACTGAAACAGTTATAACAGTTTATTTTTGTGTTATTCGTAAATCACATATTATCGAATGACATAAAATAAACTTGTTTAAATTAATGTTAGTTTTAATTAGTTTATAGAAATGTTATTCATTCATTACCACGAACTAAATTATATAATGTTTTAGGTTGAAGTAACTAACGTCAGCAATGGCTTTTATAGAAAATTTTACTTTAAGCGAAGGTCATAAGGTATTATTGTCAAGGACTGTGAGAGAAAAACGAGTGGGATGCCAACTGATGAATATGATCATTTCGGCTCTTGATGGATGAGTTTTTGATTCACCTCGACTGGTGAAGCAGAAGCTTTATGCATAAATTTGTTTAATATTGCAACAACCTCTATCCTTTACTCATCTAGGAATCATAATAATATATTTATAAAATATATTTCAACGTAAAAATATATGTATATAAATATTATTCGAAATCATCTGTTGTCAAACTCATTTTTACCCAGACAAAATAAATAGCTGTTCGTCACCTATATACCTCAGTTTCATACACGTCAACTATTCTAACAGCATAATATGATGTATCAGTATACAGTATAATATTCTGTAAGTATTAGATATTACCTAATACTTAATTGATTTGGCATATGGCTTCAAAATCTAGCAGTTTAAGAAGATAGGTTTTGGGATCAAGAAGTGTACTAATATAGTACGATATTATTAAATTTTTTGTAGAAATTGCAATGATGTCAAAAAATCTATAAATCTATACTGAAAAATTCAAATAAAATATTAAGAATACATGAAAAATATAACTTTAAAAGTAATTTTAAGTCGGAATAGCATCGAAGATGTTTACATGATGCCCCCGAGTAATTTTTTTAAGACATTTTGACATGTAATATCCCTTTACGAACACAATATACTTTGTTAATATAGACAATGATCACGAGAACTAGTTTTATTACAAGAAAATAGTATTTATCATATAACTGCATTTTAAAATAAACCTAAATATAAAAACAGTTATAACTGAAGTTATTACATCAACAATTATTTCATAAATTTATTTAATCGTATCTCAAAATTAATTATTTTTATAAATAATTATTAAAGAACTACTAACTAGCTACATTCAAACATAATAACTGTCACTACCATAAATTCGTTGAAAATCTTAATTAATTCATTTTATTGACATTAATTACTATCTTATTCCCAAAAAGAGTTATTGAGCTACTAAAGCTAAACAGCCTCTTCTTTTAAAATTAATAGTGTGTTATTTTTGATTCTCTAAATTTTAGTTAAAAGTTCTAAAGGAATATTAAAATAATAAAAGAAACAAATATTTTTAATAAATTTTCAAATGTTAAGTTAAGTAATATGATTCTTTATTTTTACATTGTAGTATTATAATTAAAATTATGCTACTTTTAAAAGTTTTAACACATAGAGAAGTTGATACATGTAGATTATGAAGATATGTACAATCGATAATATGCGTAGCATAAATATAATTGTAAATTATTGATAAAAAATCTCACTATTATAATTTTATAAAAAGATATTATAACAATAATATACTCATAATTTTGGTAACTCATGTAGAAACAAATTTGTGATCGTAGAAATAATACTTCCCAAAACAGAAATAATGCAAACAAAAGCATTGGATGCACTTTATATGTCAACTTTAACCGTTTAGCAAAAAAATCGGCGCACAAATGTTACCGTCTGTGACCAAAGTTCTCTAATATGGTTAAATTAGTGCGTTAGTAATGATATCAAATGCATATGATGTATATTTTATAAAAGGTCTCATTGGGGTGTGTAAAACAAAAGGCAAAAACTGAATGTTCATGCTCCAATTGTATTTTTACAACTTTATAATCGAGGGGACAATATTAAAGTAGAAACATAAAATTAAGCTGCCTATTTATTATTATGAAAAAATATGCGAGTTTATTCAGAATTTCTCATTAGACAGGTATTATTTTCGTATTATATATGAGACAGACCGAAACAGTAATAAGAGTTAGCCGTGCGCGGTGAACTTTTATTGTTGTAAAGCTCATATTAGGGATATTTTTTAAATTATTGTTCGTGTCATTCTCTGCCACTTTTTTCGTTCTTCCATATTACTAAAAAGAATATACTAAGTGTACTTGAGTATAGAGTAATAGGTAGCCTATGATGGAAAAAATGTACTATTTTTTTTTCTTCTTGTGGGTCATTTGAGAGTGCTTATATTTTGTAATACTGATCCACGACATAATGTAATTTGTGCAGTAAAGCTGTTGATATATATATAAAAAAAAATTGAACACACATGGATTGCGCTGACTCGACGTTGCCTATTTTTCTATAGTTGATAGACTCACTTAAGTAAACTAAAAAAGTATAGTAGTGAATTGATATACGTTCTTTTCTTCTATATTAAAAGCATAATGGTTAGTTTTGTCTCTAATGTAGTTTAAGTGATGGTCGTTTTTATAGATGAAAACGTAGTCGAGACGTAGTAAAAAAAGATATAAAATAATACAGAAAAGCGCATTTACACTTCTACTGTTGGTAAAACTTCTTTGAGTGGGTATACAAAATCTATTTTAAATAACGACGACTTAAGACTTATAGACGGAAGAGATTTATTTCAAAGAGAAATTCAATTTACGAATTATGGCACATTTAAATGATAAGTAATTTTAAGATTAATTATATTCAAAAAATGTATTCACAGATTATTCTGAAATGATAATACCTATAATCAAAATAATTGACCAAACAACGGCAAAAGATTCGATATGCTAATTATCAAACGATTTATATATTAAAATAATACAAAGATATATTAATTATTTAGAGAACATAAATAAAAGGCAATAAAATTGTATTTTTTGCGATATGTCGCTGTTAAAATTAATAAGCGTTACAATTTTGAAAAACATTTAAATCTGTTATTGATTTTTATAGAAAAAACAACATTTTTTCTGAATTGAAAAAAATGTGTCATATCAAAAGTACAAAATTATCAGTATCATATTTTATTTGAGAGAAGAAGCTACAACGTATTTATTTAAATGTTTTCTTATTAAAAAGAGGACATGTTACAACGTTTAATTATTTGCTGGTTAAAAACTTAGCATGCAAAACCAACACGGCCCTGATAACTTAAACTATATACGATTTGTAATCTTTAATCATGTCATAGTAATACCTTTTTGCACATCGGAACTAAAATGTTCACTCTGAAAAATTTAGATGCATATTTATTTTAATTAAATAAAATTTATATATGAAGAATTTAGTCACAAAGAATCAAAAACGACTTTCTGTTACATGAAATTTACAATGCAATTTGAAAATAAACTTCATAGAGTCATCAAAAGGTTTTTTAACAAATTCGTTTATTCCATTAAAAAAAAACACTTCACCGAACTGATTTTGAAGTTTTCTTTTTTTTGAAATTTCACTTGTCTTATATATTTTTGCTCTTATTTAAAATAAAGAGCATCATTCGTTGTGCAGTATAAAATTAAGTGAACACTGAAAAAGGTCGATTCGAAAAAAAATCTATCCAAACGTTATACAAAAAAAAACATTATTAAGTTAACGCTTTCAAAATTAAAAACAAAAACTCAACTGTCTAATATCATGCGAATGCTGGGAATATCAATGGGGCTCTTGAGTTTTAATACATTCGCACTCTACACGCTTGATAAACATTAAATTGTGCTACCACTTCTACCATTAGGTAATTTATTGAAATTGAAAAACAAAAAAAAAAACTTTTCATTTAACCTTATGAGTATACAAGTATGACGGTTTTGCATGGGTAATTATACGCATAATCGACTTTATTTTAATGTAATTACACTTGTTATATTAATTTACATAGGCACATAATTTTTAAACTCAAAAGGATGACAGCTATTACTATACAAGTCTAATTAGTTAATATAAATACATTTTTACAAATTACATCTACCTTACTGCATTTATGTGTCTAGTCTTGGGGTTTATACAAATAGCAATTCAAATGCTTATTTAATAAGCAAAAATTAACAAACTAGTAAATGATTTGAGTTAAAATCTTTAACTTAAGACATTTACTGTTTGTCTATTTGGAAATATTAATTTTTATCCTACAGATAAATGTTGGAATACATTAATGATTGATCTTTATGTTAATTTCTTTTTTTCACATTAAAGAGATCTACAAAGGCGGTTGCTTTTATTTATTAGTCCTATAACATGTGAGGGATGATTATTTCAATGGTATCTATTTAATAAGTCAAAATATTATTCACGTTTTGAATGTTTTTTACATTCCTTTTAACTTTTAGCTTTGATGCGAGGCTGAGAAGCTATTGGTTTTATTCTACGGTGAATTATTATTATTTTTTGTGTTGTTTTAAGATGAAATAGAAAAACTATCCGATGTCTAAATTTGTAGGAGTTATTGAGCATTAAATCTAAATATCATATATTTTCGGTAAAAATTAACTAATTTATAAACTACTAAAAAATTTTTAGGGTACTCAGATACCTCCCTTATTTTTGTAAACAGTAATGTTCAAAGTTTATTAGCATATACATTAAACTTATTTACAATTATAATTTGTAAAAAATCCAGTTTTTAAACCAGTTTTCAGAAAATATTTACAACTTTTATTATAGACTAGATATGACACGTGGATTATGATTTGTAGACAAAGGTAATGAGCTTAAAAATACATAATTATTCATAAATTTAGAAGTATAAAAAATAAACATTCTTCATATGATTATAATCAATTTTAATCACTCAATATTTTATAAAATAAAAATTGTTATTTAAAAGAACCTATCAAGTGGCTAACATTTAATGAATCGCCCCATAAAATCAAAATTATCTCAGTTTTTTAATTTTTTTAGCAATTTCAAATATAATTTACGGTGAATAAATTAAAGTATTTTCTGTTGCAAAATATCCGGAAAACTATAAACCCTTCTAATTATGACATAGTTACACGCGCCTATTTAGGAGTCAAAGCACGAAGAACTTCCTTTTTACTACAAGTACTCGTTTTCAAGAGTTTATAAAAATATTAATAAACGTAAGCAATATTACTTAAAATAAAATCATTTGTTAAATGTTTAGAAAAATATATTATTAGCTAACTAATAGAGATGGTTTTTAAGAAAATAATTATCAAATAAAAGAATTTATTTTTCAGTAAATTTTTAAAAATAGTTGTATTTACAAATTAATGTGTTTACATTTTTTACTTTACCTTTATCAAATTATAAATAACTCTTAGCTTGAGAATTATTTATAAATGATACAAAGTAAACAAATTTTACTGAAAATTTATATATTTAATGTTAAAATTTCTCTTTCAATTTAATATGATTTTACAAAAATATTATTGTCAACAACAGTCATGAATATTTTTAGAAGACTTATTAAATAATTCCATCACAAATGTTACTACGTTTCTATAGATTTTAACATCAAAATATTTCTTTTAACTGGTGGGTGGTAATATCTATACCAAAAGCCAGTCGAAAATCTTAATATTTAGTCAAGGAATGCGAAAAATAGATTTTCTAGTCTGCAACGCTATTCATCAATTTTTCATGTCTGTTAAGTAATATTAATCATTTAACTAGAGTAGAGGTTATAAAAAATAAAAATGTCACCGAGTAATTTATATAAAATCCATACAGTTCGATAAATCATACATCCACTTTATTTATTATTATTTGGTTTTCTTTGTTTCTCGATAAAGGTTTTCTCCAGGCACTCAATTTAATCGCACTATTTATTTTTGTATGTGCAACGGCAACGACTAAAAGTAACATTTCTTGGCTGCGACCCCATTGCCGCCTTTGAGCTATAGTTTAGTCCACCGTTTTTTTTTTCGACTTCGCGTGCTGACCCTTACTTGGCCACAGTTAATTTATTGCTGACTCCTGGTTACCAAAAACGGCTACTTTTTCGTTGTTACAGTAAACGTTAAATATGCAAATCAGCACGTGCATGACTTTAGTGAGGAAATTTAAATGCACAACAAATTAAAAATTAAAAGCACTCCACCATCTCTGTCCATTTTTTTTGCCACCCAAATGTTCTTTAGACATGAGTTTATGTTATGTTATTGCCTTCACCCCTTCGCCGTAATACCCCATCATTTTTCATATAAATAATTATAAAAAAAAAAAAAAAACGATAAAATGACATAAGTAAAAAATTGTTTAGATTTTTCTTTTAAAAACACTTACCTGGGTTAATAACGTCGCAAGGTAACACTACCGTGTCATTAGTGACAACTCGAAATCTCTTGCCCTGTGTCCCAAATGTAGGCAAGTTTTCAAGTTCTGGATCTAGTACAGTACGTTTTGGCGATGCCAATCCTGTAAGTAAAAAATAATTTAATTAAACGTAGGTTGTTTTAAGGTAGGCCGGTATATTTTAAGATAAACAGACTGTCACGAAAAGAAAGGGTCTGGTATTTACGTTCCATTTGATAATTACTGTTATTCTTGTACAAGTGGACGTGTATTTCATCTTTGTCTTTCTCTTTTCATAGAGAATAACTCAACATCAGAAAATAGAACGTCTTTTATACTAAATACGGTTCGCAACAAACGGATTATGGGGAACGCGCTTTTCTTTACAAGGTAAAAAAAAGTACTACTAATTTACTTGACAAATATATCCTCCTCAGCTTTTGAGTAATTAAAGGCGTAACAATATACTGCTAGTGTCTTCTTTTGCATTTCTATTGTAACATAGCTTGACAATAAATCACATAAACCACCCTATTCTACCTGCTCACTCTACAATATAATCAAGAAGCATAACACAAGTTGTAGCATTATCCAACTAAATATGATATCTTTTGAACAATAAACACTGTGATCATAATAATAAAATATAGTGGAAAATTGTGACAAATATCTTACACATAATACAATTTGTTTAGAGAGAATAAGTTATTAGAAGATAAAACACTTTCTGTCATGGGAGGAAATGTTTTTAGTAATTATTTCAATATGTAATAAGTTAGTAAAATATAAATTCAATTTTATATTCAATGTACATGATAATTAAAAAGTGACATATTTTAACCAGTATGACAAAATGTTGATTTATCCTTTTTAATTCTATACAAAACTTACAACATATGCAAATATTTACCCGAGGACTTAACTAAAGATAATTACTTCAGAATGTACTTTTAACACAATTTTCAAAGATAATATGTGTGTAATATAACACAAATAAAATTTAGGAAAATCACTAATTTTATACTTTATATATCGCATAGTTGTACATCATGATAAACAAAAAATGGCGATTCACATATTTTAATGGTATTACTACCACAGTATTAAATGTTACAGTTAATTATAACTTCGAATAGTATAAAACTGTATTTATTTCCTTTGAAAAAATCGTGTATTAAAGATTTTAGATTTACTGAAAGAACATTAACAAAACTACTATAGATCAGTACAAAATGCCTATTTTACAGGGAAAACGTCAAATTTAAAATAACAAATTAAACATAATAATGTAGTGTTAATTAATTATATTTAATATTTAAAACTTGCAAAGAATATTATTAAAAGCTCCTATCATATGAAAACATCAGAGGATTTTAGGTGAACTCTATATATTTATTGGTGATAGAGGATATACATTGCTTATGTGTAAGGATACTAAAGTCGATTGTGGTTAGGGACAGACGTATGATAGTGGAATAAACATTGAAAACATTTTTATTTATCAGAAAATTGAATCCACTACACCACCAATCCAAATAAACGACCACTAGAGTAGGGTTTGAGATTTATTTGCTTGCCGCGTGTATACGTTTTGTTATCAGAGTAGTATGTCATCTGCAAAAAGGACCCAGATATCAAGCCATTGTTGTGATAGCTATCGAAAATACTTCAACCAACAGGACCTCAATCTAACAATGCAATATTTGATGTATCACGTTATTTTCTACATTAGTGTATAATATGTAAAACTAATATATTTAATCACTAGGGTAAATCTATAAAACAAAAAATTTTAATTCAAAATATTTTTTAACCTTAGTAATATCAATAAATAAACTGAATAAATTAAAAAAAATTGACAATTAAATGCGAAAAAAACGTTAATGAACTACGTAAAATTTTGTTTGGTTCACTTTGCCTCCTTGGCAATATCGTAAACGGTAAAGCTGCAGGTGTATTGGACTTTTTAGTCGACTTTCTGTAATTATATTTCATTAGTTATGGTAGAAATAAGCACTTTAGTAGAAACCACAATAAAAAAAATGAAATAAATTGTCATAATAATAAATAAAATAACGGATTATATTGTTGATGTACGAGTAAACTTTGAAAAGTAAATGAATAAATTTACATAAGATCCGTTTACTGAGCGCATGGTCTTCGGACTTTCCAGTCTTGATTTTTCACCGGGTCCAAAAAGTTTTTGGCAAATATAAATACTAAAATTTATTTACTTCATTTTCATGAAAAAAGATTCAACTAGTTTTCTAGTTGTGTAGTTGATCGATGTATAGTTTTCAGCGAAAAACAAAGTTTTCACAAAAATTTGTTAAAAGACAATTTCGTGTTTTTCTACTGCATCAGTTGTTTAGGTAGTGTATTGGAAGTTTCTCAGATTAATTCACAAGACTAAAGTCAATCGATTGTTTAATATATGCAGTGTATATTCATAGCCAATTAATAAACGGTGCACTCATGTATGGTTATAAATTACACAACAGGTGTGAAAACATACAACTGTTTCACAATAACGACTATCCATGCGGTTACAATTAGCCTTTGATGAAAAGATGATTTATCACAATAATTTTGACTCATGCGAAAATTCAACGTTATGTTCGATAACGGCGATAAAAAAATATGATGTAAAAAGGTCATTACTTACGAGTTTATCACTAGACTTAGTAAACATTTTAAAATGTCTACTCTTAATTAAAATGCTGCTTATAATACGACTTTTATAAATGGTTCTTTCATTTTAAAACAAAACTAATAAATTACTCAACAATCTTGAAGACACCCGCTGACTCTCAGGAATCAGGTCAATCTAAAAATTTCAAACTTGCATCACATTTTGTAAAATAAAACGAAAATTATGGAAAATGTTATTCAACTAAATGTTCTGCATTCCGTGGTCGTTCAACCGTTTCCTATGGCTAAATTATTATTCTATTTACTTTCAGTACTGTGTTTTTAAGTATGTATATAAATAATAATCAAAATAATATTATAAGAACCGACTAATGGAAAACATTGTCTTAACGGGGACGCGCAAAAAAAGGAAATGATGCTAATAAATTTATAAAAAAAAAAGAAGTCTGTCTTGAACAGGCCATTGCAAGAGCACTATAGTCAACCGGGTACTATGGTCGCTTTTTTAGCAATAATTTTTTTGTTTTTTCCTATCCGCTAGTCGACTTATACGCTCCGGAATTTTACCGACTGGAAAAGTATATTTACCTACCATCTACTTTCTTGGTATAATGTAGAATACCAAAAATAATAATAATAATAAAAAGAGCTAATCCAAGAAGTACAATCAAAACCGGAAGATATATAACTACTGTCTGATTCAACTTGATTACTACAGTAATAATTTACTTTCAATAATTTTAATATCAATATGAAAATTTATACTGAAACTAAATTAACATGAATATGAATTTTTCACTCTTTAATATTGTATTCGAATAACATTAAAGTTATCATACATTGTTCAATATGAATAATATTTATTTTATTTTAATAAAATATTTTGTACTAAACGTATTTCTGCAACATATCATATTTTATTCTTTAAAACACCATTACTTTATTATTGTAAGGATATTATTAAATAAAACCAATTTTTAATTAAATATACATTTTATTAATAATAAAAAGAGAATGTAGAAAAATATCGTTTGTTTATTAAGTATTTAGTTAACGAATTAAAATCTATGGCATTTAAAATTTCATTCTCAACTACTTTGTAGTGTATTTACAGTGTTCTTTACGTCCGAACCCCCCAAAATCTTCACTGCTCTATGTTATGAAAGCTATCTGGACTTCACCTCTTATACAATTTTTGAATTCGCATTCATATACATAGTATATAGTAAAAAATATTATCATATCAGCTTACTATAGAGGTTTATTCTAGATTATTTTACAGAAGAAAAATTTTTTCTACACCCTTCTAATCTCATAAAAATTTAAGAATTTTTCTATGGGGTTATGCCTCCCACAAATACACATTTGTATAGAATAGCTAACTATCCAAACAGTTAAATAAAATTTACTGCAGTTTAACACAAAAATCTGTCAGAAACCATTTAATTGATGTTTTTTTACATTTAATATATTATTTTATCTAAAATTAAATAAATATAAAAAATTGATATTTGACTGGTATTTAAATGATGTATTTATACTGAAAAATAAAAAAATCAACCTAAGTTATTTTATTTTATTTTTGGTATTTGACAGGTTTCTGAAATGATCGACTCAATTGTATTAATATAAAAACAATTTGACCTAACTTTCAAAAATACCAGTTTTTCAATAATTTAAAAAAAGTTGAATTTTAATTATTTTTATGTTAAAAAAAAATTAAGCGTATTGTAATAGGTTATAAATTTAACGTAACATACGTATGTATTACTGTAGAAAGAACAGGATACCTTAAACACAAAACAAAGGACTAAAATCCCGATGACTTTACATTGAACTTTGGCTGATTTCAAAAACAAAATAATACGATATCTATTGATGTCATTTTATTAATTATTTTTGATCATAAGAGTTGACTATAAAAAACTATTAAATAGGAATATTGAAAAAAATATACTGTTAACATGTTAATAATAGTTTTGAATTACGACACCAAACAAACAATTAAACTAATGCATTTTTTTGTGTCGAAAATATTATACTCAATTATTTAACGGTAATATTAGAATTTAAAGGATTGAGAACAAATGGAAAAGAAGGTATAGAGAAGTAATGGCTTAACTGTCTCTTTTACAACGATGTACAAGTGACGACTGAGCAAGTACTCTGAAAACCCTTTTCTTCCTCTATAATTAAAATGCTTGAAAGAGAAAAGTTTATTAAATATTCAGTATTGGTGAACCATCAGTAGTTATCAAATTTTTAGTACATGTTCAATAAAAAAATAAGTAGTGTTTACGTTTTCTATCATTATAAAGAAAATATAATTTTATTCGATATAAAGGAAATTTAATGTAATACTTAATTATTTTTCTAAAATAATTTTTAACATAGAATTGCAGAATATAAATTTAAAACATTCATTTATAAACGAAAAGTGTTTTTTGTAGTGTTAGTTTAAAAATAAACTT